CGCCCTTCTCCCATAGGACTCAGGGCGGTTCACAGCATATTTAAAAAACAGATACTATACACAAATACAAAAAATACAAAAATACAACAATATAAACCCCAATAAAAACCGAATTAAAAACCAAATATTGACGGCTGTGTTTCCAATTAAAATTGCTTCTAAAATCATCCCTACCTAAAATCCTCCCTAGGTCAGGCCCACTTGCTGGAAAAGCCATGCTTTTCATACCTTCCACTTTGGGTTTTGAGGGAATTCCTGAAGCGCTTTATAATTAAAGATGGGGGGGGGGAGAGAGAGACACTCCAAGATACTGTGTTAAAATCATATGAAACACTATATAAGTGGATTGATTGGACAGGCGGTTTCAGTCGACCAGGACCGAGCATTAAAAAAAATGATAAAAGTAAAATCGGTAATTAAAATCACAAGTTTCAGTGTTAGAAATAATGGTTAAAGAGTCAGTTTTATCTTTAACGAAAAGGCTAGTGATTGACTGTCATCCTTGAGGGAATCTCATGACTTGATGCTGAACGTGAAAAGTATATATTCTCCTGCACAATAGATATGATCTGTAGCCAGAGTTAAAAATACATTATTACTAGGCATGTGCATTTTTCATATTTTAGCATTTGTAGCTGAAAGAAGCCGACTGTGAAATAGTTGAGCAGTTAAAGTAGTAGCTGTTTTGAAATTTAAAGAAATTAAATCTAGATAAGTTGCTCTTCCTGTGATTTTTGCAGAAGCAAAATCATTGAAGATAATCGGTTGGATTTGAAGTGGACTTTTCACAAAGCAAAACATTTATTTCCATTGGTGGAGAGAACTAAGATATATTTGAAAACTGTGTGAAGGAAGCAATGGGATAATTTGTTAATGGTTCTTTATTTCTGCAGTCCCCAATGCTACCTCTCATACAATTCTAAAGAGTTTCAGAGTCTAGAACATTGTGTGTGTATGTGAGAGAGAGATACAAAAATGAACATCCAACAACTGAAAGAAGCTATGATTGACAAGATAGCATGGAGAGTGCTTGCCTATAGTCGCCAAGAGTAGGACATGACTGAATGGTTAAAACTACTACTATTAAAACTACTATTGCTAATAATCAGTTCCTTTGCTTCTTATGCCTTTGCTACTTTTCCTGAGAGATCTAGGCAGGAAGCCTGTTTCCCTTCCTGACACCACCAATGCATGTTTTTATTATTTTTTATAGTGAGTATATTCTCTTGAAGTGTTTATTGTTTATGTTTACTTTTTCCAGATGAATTTGAAGTAACCGAAGAGGTCCCAAAAATAGCCCCAAACCCTCCTCAAGTTAACATGCCGGTTGGTCCTGTACCTGTCAAACCAACAGGTACAATATTTCTCAGTTTCATTTATAATAGTGCCTAAAGCTAAATTACAAGGATCGTGCTGTTTGCATACAACAAATTTTTAAATGTTACTTATTTAACTTTTTGTCTTACATATTTCCATTAGAATCATACAGGTAGTCCTCGATCTACGACCATTCATTCAGCAACCATAGAAAATTATAAATGAGTGGGACTAACAATAGGTCTGCAAAATTGCAGTCTTTGCAATATCTCCACAGTCACATGATTGTGATGAATGGCTCATGATTACAATATTGCATCGAGTAGTGATTGCCATGTGCAACTTTCCCTGCCGGTTTCCCAGAAGAAAACTCGATGGGGAAGCTGGCAGGAAAGGTCACAAATTGTTCCCATTGATTTTTCTCCAGAGGAGTCCCACTATGGAGCTCCTTGACCAGCAGTGCTCATCTGCTGCCCTTACTGGCCCACTCACGCTCCCCAGTGCCTGCCTGCAGCTCTTGCTTGTCTGCCTGTGATCCTCAGCACCCGCCCATGGCCCTCAGCAGCACATCCAGAGCTTTCACCAGGCTCTCCAACATTCCATGCGCCCACAGCAGCTCCCCCCTCTTATCCTTGTCTAAGACTCCTGCCTCTTCTCACTTAACCCATGTGGCCCTGGGGTCATGACAGTACATGGGATTGCTGTCACTAAGCAGTGCGGTCATGTGGCATTGCACTTTACAACTGCATTGCTTAATGACAACAATCCCAGCAATCTAGTTGCTGTCAACCCAAACTATAAAATGTTTGTTAAACTGATTTGTATAAAGCAAGTTGGATACAGGATTTTTACAGATTAAATACTGGAGTTATTTTTCTGAATCGATTAAAATGAAGAATATGTGCCTTTTAAATAAACAAGGAAAAAGATTCTTTGTAATTTTTTATTATATAGTAACCATTTTTAAAAGATGTAAGTCTTCCATCAGATTTTTGAAACCAGAATAATATTAATGTTCACCGTATAATTTGTCAAATACATATTTTATTTTACAAAATTTATATTTTTTCCTAATTCCAAAGGATTCATGATGGTGTACAGCAATAAAGAAAAACATGACACCTAAATCTAAATCAAAAGAAATAGTAAGCATAAAAGAAAAGCAAAGATAAAACCCATGAGAAGCACCTACAGTATGTCAACTAGGAATAAAACATTTTTTATAACATTGAGAAAGTTCCCAAAATTTATTTCACACAATTTTATCACAAATATCAATATTATTTTGGTGATAGAAACATTATTTGAAATTCAGTTCAAACCATCAACATATATTTTTTTACTTTGCAAGGAGCTAAGATTTGTATTAGTGACATTAGTTCAAGAATCTGCACAATTCTGATTTTTCTGATGTGGTTCTTGGCATTCCCCAATCATATCCTAAATTTGATTTTGCTGTTGTAACAGATTTCAGGATTTAGATGAAAAGATTGCATTTTCACTGCTTTGACACGAGGACAACCATAAGTAAAAACCATAAGCAGCTTTATTCTCTACACATTATTTTATTTATGCATTAGATTTCTATATCATCTTTTCTCCAGGAGTCAATGTGTTTTTTACATAGGGATCTCCTTTCATTTTACTTTCACAACAATTACCTTTTAAGGTAATTTGTGCTGAGTGAGAATGATTGCCTCAAGTCACAAGTCGCCTAGTAAGTTTCCATGGCTGAGAGTGATCTCCCCACTCCTGCATGAATATTAACAACTATACTACACTGGCATTTAAAGTCATAATGTAATTTGTATTGTTTTAGTTTAGCATGTTGGGTAAGCTCCACTGTTATTTGTAAACCATGGTTTTGGCTTAGATGTGCTTACATTTTTACAATTAACCAAGGTTAAGCAAATCATGGCTGAGTGGGTGTGGACCATTATTTTGCAGAGAAACTAATTTCCATTTTTTTTCTTTTTATAAGAGGAAGAGGGTTTCTTTTTAAAAAGCATGGTTGGTAAGATAATATAAATTTTGCATCAGGGTTAAACTTGTTTTATCCTTTTTTGGAGTCAAGGATTTAAAAGTTCATTTTCACTTTTTTGCTTAAACATACAAAAAACCCATGCTGTGGATTTTCAGCTAATTTTTTACGATGCAGTTTGGAAAAATTTCCAGGACTACAAAATTGGGGCTAGAAAGGTTCTGTGTAGTCCACACCTGGCCTATTATGATTCATGCTTAAAAATTCAAAATATCTTCAGGATTGGTAGAAAAAGTGTTTGCTATAGTAGTAAGAACTGGTAAATCTATTTTGGGCATTTTGTAAATGAGTTATGGTGCTGGGGTGTTACAAGCTTAATATAAGGGCTTGTAACACATTCAGACACTGAATGTTCTGTTTGGATAATTATAATGGGTTGCTGTCATGGAATGCTACATATGATAATGTTGACTTTTCTTTTAGGTGGCTTGTGTTTGCTTGGTACATATGAAGACAGTGATGATGAAGACAGCGAGATGACCGAGAAAGCAGCACAATCTGCAGATGCAAATGGAAATAATTCAGCAGACATCGATAGTACTCTGGCTAATTTTCTAGCGGTTAGTAGGAATGTTATTTTGGGTGATTAATTGACTTAGTCCTTGAACTAGTATAGAACATCAAAAAAAAATTCACAGTAGTACTTTACAACAGGCAAGAAAAGAGAGAAAGCATTTGAGGGATAATGTTTTTAAGCGCTGCCCGAGTGAAGTTCAAACATTTCATACAGCGATTGTACATTTTCTCTTCTAGATTGACATTAAATATATGTCCTTTAAAAATGTCCTCTTCTACTTTTTCAAGGAGATAGATGCAATTACCGCTCCTTCCCAACCTCATGAAGCCACTGTGCCAACTACAGCTCCACCACCAACTCCTCCCCGGCCAGAACCCAAGGAGTCTGCTACCAGTCAGGTTTTGGTAACTGCAAATGGAACAGACCAAGTAGCTGCATGGCAATATGACACTCAGTGCTCATTGGCAGGAGGTGAGCTCATTGTAGCTAGTTTATTCATAGATGATCGTATTGGGAGGGTCACTTAGGCCATTAGTTCTATCTGCCTGCTTATAGAACTTCCCTATGATTTAAGGCTATTAATCTGTATACTGAACTCTTTGATTATAAAGAAATCTTTGCATCTATTACTTGAATAATACTCTCAAGCTCCTGTCAACTCAAGTCACTTTTTCTAAGAACATAATATATTCAAGTCTCTCTACCTTGCCTTGTAAGATTTAGTTGCCAATCCCCCTAATAAACATTGCTCTTCTCTGTATACTTTCATCAATTTGTCTGAATCCTTTAAAAGTGTGGTGGTCATTTATGGACCCAGTACTTGAGATGGGATCAAATTAATTTACTTTCCACAACTTGGTAACTATAATTCTATAGATGTAGCCTAAAATTGCATCTGCATTTTCAGCAGCTGGGCTAACCTTCATATTCAGCTTGTGATCAGTTATAATTTCAAGATCATTTTCACATCTACTATTGCCAAACCTAATATCCCCCCTCAATCCTTTGCTTGTTACTTTGCTTTATTTTTCCTAAAAGAAGAACTTTATATTTTTCTTTATTCAATTTCCAATCTATTTTTCTAATTTATTGTTTTTGATTTTGTTTCTGTCTTCTGGATTATTAGTCAACGCATTTCTTCATCCAAGTCAAAGATTATTCAGATAAAACCTGCTAGTATATAAAGACTGATTGAACTCCTTTGTCTCTTTAACTAAGTATACTTCGGTTTTTTATACAAGGGTGAATACAAAGAGTTTTATTAGATTGTGCTTTGGAATTGAAAGATTATTAAAAGCAGTTTATGAATTTTGTCTTGGTTAAGAATTTGAGATTTATTTAAGAGGGGGAGATAGGGAGCAAATGCAGTTGCAGTCCCTCTCTAATGTATGTGTATGGAAAAATATGAAGATGCTCAATAACATAGTCTGTATTTGCTGATTAATGAAAAAGGGGGAAAGTTGCTCATTAATATTTTGAGGATTTGTTTTTTCCCATAGTGGGAGTAGAAATGGGAGACTGGCAGGAAGTTTGGGATGAAAACACAGGCTGCTATTATTACTGGAACATTCAAACAAATGAAGTTACTTGGGAACTACCTCAGTATCTTGCAACACAAGTCCAGAATCTCCAACATTACCAACACAGGTAAAATTAAAGAAGTGAATAATTTCAGAAGTTAAATTGGATTTGGTTTTTTAAGCTTACCTTTACTAAAACTGCTCTTTTGTTAGTTCTGTAATAGAGGCTGATGAAAGCTACCCCGTGGCTACAGATATCAGTTCTCAGGGGAAAGGTGGAGGTGGTACTAATAGTACCATTGCTGTTCCTGCTGCTGGTAGTATTGGACGTAGGACAATTCCTTCAAAACGTGAACTGAGAAAGGTCAGTATCAATTTGAATGAAACATTTCCATGGCTGTTTTAATCATTCTTTCCTCAAGATTGTATATACCTCTGATTTTTTTTTCCAGATCAAGAATGGATAGTTTCCATTTTGGAGTACTTGATATTGTAGAACATCAATTTATATAAATTAGGTTGCTAAGAGTTTATAGCTAAATGTTATGTATCAGAGTTCTCAAACTCTGTGATGCCATGACCCTAAAATGGTAACATGAATTTCTGTGATCCCCAACAGACATGATTTCATTGGGATAAGAGTTAAACAATAGATGAGTATAACACTTCAAATAATAGTATGCCTGAGTATATATTTCCATGAAACTCTGATAGAATGTTACAACCATAAAAAAAATAATAATTTGGGAATCCTCCCCAATCTTCTCCTTTTTAACAGGAGGGCTGAGATGCTTACTTTTGTCTCATTTCTGAAATCTGGTTTTAATTTTGAAGCAGCCACTTTCAGTCTTTAAAATAGGTGGGGGTGGGGGGGGAGAGAAGAAGACTTCATCTTTTAAACTGTTCTTTAAATGTTGCAATGTGGAAAAGATTGGCAGGCTGCAAGTTGGTTTTGGCACTTTGCAATGCAGACCTACTGAAACAGTCCATTTGCTGTTTACCTTCCAGCTTGCTGTTTGTAAATATTCCCCCCCCCCATTCCTCAGTTCACTCTTCCTCCTTCGTTAACAGCCCTTCCTCCTCCACTGTATTTCCTTCTGCAGAGGAAGCACCAGGTCAGATGTTCAGGACATTGTATAAAAGTCTCATGTCCTCCAGACATGATTATTTCTCCTTGGAAATACGTTTTTAAAACATTAACTTGATATATTAAAACATTTTAAAGGAATTGATGGTGAAGCTTGGATTCTTAGGTTGCTTTGCATTCTACATACACTTTTTTTTATTAAACTGAAATAAACTTCTTTGGAAAGATCCTCTGACAATCCTCTGTCTATTTTCAGACACACATACCCATGAGAATCACAGTCCAGATTTTGAGAAATGTTTGTATATAGATACAACAAGGACTTCATAATTCAGAATAGTGCTTTGCATTTTAAAATTTCTAGTCTAGTCTCCCACATGCCAGTTTGAGAGCCAGTTTGGTTTGGTGGTTAAGGGGTTGGCCTAGAAACCAGGATGTGGTGAATTCTAATCCCACCTTAGGCATGAAAACAGCTGGGTAACCTTGGCCAGTCTCTCAACCCAATTTTCAGCACAATTCATTTCACAGGATGGTGGCTGTGAGGAGAACAGGAGGAGGAAGGAACATTATGTATGTTTGCTGCCTTTAGTTATTTGTCAAAACAATAAAGGTGGATTAAACATCTAAATAAATAAATAAATACTTTTATTTCAAAAGTTTCAGCAGGCCTAGGAAAGAAGATATTCCGAGCTGTTATTTTTGGGTTTTGTGCATTGTTAATCTACTGACTACATTTCCAAGCTTTGAATGAATATGCGGAAAAGAACAGAACACAATATAGAGATTCAGAAAGGCTATATATGTATATTTATTAAATTTATATGCCACCCATCTCTCACTGTCCAAAGTGAGTGGAGAGTCCAGAGAGCAGAGTGTAGTTTATGATCTTTGTCTGAAGTACTTGATTGGCTCGTTACTGTCAGTATTCTAGTGGTTCTTAGAATGTGATTTGAACGTTTTGCCTGGCATAGTTGAAGAAGTTCACATTTTGATGGGAAAAATCTCATTAACTTCACAGGAAGTGAATGAAGGCATCCAGGCACTATCAAGCAGTGAAGAAGAGAAAAAGGGAGTGGCTGCATCTCTGCTGGCTCCTTTGCTTCCTGAGGTGGTGAAGGAGGAAGAGGAGCGCTGGAGGCGGAAGGTCATATGTAAAGAGGAGGTGGAGCCATTGATGGAAGAAGATGTAACAGTAGAACCAACAACAGCCATTTCTGATCAGCAGCTGGAAGGTGTTCATGATATTGGGGAAGACCCCTCTCAGGAAGACTTGTGTAGTGTGGTGCAATCAGGAGAAAGTGCAGAGGAAGAAGAAGAAGAAGAGCAGGACACTCTGGAACTGGAAATGGTATTGGAGAGGAAGAAGGTAGGTTATGTATTAGGTAGGAATTATTTCGTCAAAGTTGTAGCTAGTTAGGAGGAAAAGGATGTACTTGCAGATACTGCACTGAAGTAAAAGCTATACTATCTTTCCATTATTTAAAAAAGGGAGATCCCTTTTTGGATTAACTTGCTGTTGTGTTCTTTGGCATCTAAAATAAATGTATTAGATTTGGCTTCTAGGAGAAAACTATCATCAGTTCTATCTTTTAAGATACAGGTCCTTGGCAATAAGATGTCAAGAACTTTTTTAAACCCGCATGTCATTATGTAATTATTGTACAGTAAATGCATAGGGTTGATTGTGGACTGTTTTGTATCATCTGTTAAAGCCTTGTTCAAACATACTTCATTCTTAATGTATAACATTCCTACGACTTTTTTCACACTGTTAAAGCTTTGTATAACACCAGCCTACCTACTCCCCCTTTGTGATCGACCTCTTCCTCTTGGCTTTTAGAAAAGAGTGAAAATCTAATATTTCCATGAAGCCAAAAAAAGCTGGTCTATTATAATTACCTCTTGCTCGTGAGATTGGGATTCTTTGTTACTGTTAATGATTTATATGCAATAGTTGATTCCAAATGTTTTTAGTTGCTATTTTAATTGATTGTATGTCTTACCAATTTGGGAATTATATACCTGCAGGTTGGAGCCACCTATATAAACCCTGTAAATAAATAATGTAGTGTAATAATGTAATATATAGAGTCATGAGTTGGAGAAAGCTTACAGCTTATCTAGCCAATCTCTGGTTGGTGTAGAAAATCCAATGCTATAAAATCTGTTTGCAGACTTCCACCAAGAGAGGCCACCTCTGCTTTTGGTAGTTGGTTGTATTATATCAAGCAACAAGAGACAAAACTGTATAGTCCACGTTTGAAAGAAAAAAATTGGTGTACAGAAAACATGTTAATATAGTAAATAAATTAAAATAAAGGTTTTAAAATAACAGTGCATGAGTAAGAAGAAAGAATTTTGGTGTGTTCAGTTGTGATTGATTTCTTTAAACTATTTTATTGATTAAATTTTATATTTTTTGCTATTCAGAATTATTATTTATATACTATTACATATATGTACTTTATTTTAGAATTTGTTATATACCACTTTGAGAGCCTTTTTTGTGCAAAAAATACATATTTTCTGTTATGTGGTGTTCCTTCTATCAATTATCAGCTTGATAATTATCTTGGTACATGCTAGCCAGTAAAGTTTCATTAAGGTCAGCATGACTTCCAAAGCAATTTTGGCTAATATTGTAGAGACCTGAAGAGTAGATTACACTGGAAGCAAATTCCTGTATCTCCAAATCAGAGATGATACGTATTTTTGTGGAGACTATCTATGTATAATGTGTTTTCTTCAATCTACTGAGAGTTTGTATACTACATTATTACAGAGTTACTATCCACAGTGATTAGTTGTTTTAGAATTCAGCATTTTTTATATTTTCTCTTCTATAGAAAATCAGATTCCTGGTTGAAAAATTTTTTTTTGCACTGATCAAATTTTCTATCTTTGGGGCAGGGGAAATAATTTACAAATGAGTAGATATGGGCAATTAGACAGCAGTTGATACAAAAAGTAGTGAGGCTTAGAGCAAAAGCTCTTAAAAGTAATGAGGAAAATGATTATGTAATAGAGTCTTCTACACATACCGTCTTTCATTGTTGAAGGCAGATACTTAGGAGCAGTGAATGAACGAATTCTCCAGTACTGAAATAATGTTTCATTTTTATAGGCAGAATTACGAGCTTTGGAAGAAGGTGATGGGAGTGTTTCAGGCTCCAGTCCACTTTCTGATGCAAGTCAATCAGATCTAACACGGCGGTTGCTACCAAAGCAAGGGAAATGGAAGCTGTTTGGAGTTGCTAGTCCTGAATCTACAAGCCGAGGGTCTAGCAAGACAGGCCAAGATAGTCCTGAGCCTGGAGAAACTGGTAAGATTCTTTTCGGTTCTTTGGTTAACCTTAGTTGCTTATGTCTTCCTGTCTACTGTGCCAATCTATTGTAAAAGAAAGGTGTTTAAGGAAAATTGGGGAATTCTTAAATTATACAGAGGGAAAACCTGGGGAAGGACAACACGGTAAGAACCCGCCCAAAAGATAGAGGAATATCTAGCAGAGACATGGCAGAACCTCTCAACTCCTTCTACTCTTTTTCCCAAGGAAATCTATTTAAAGGGGCCTAAACAGAGTCAGACAGCTAATAACCTCAAAGGAACTTGCAGATGTTATTTTGTGTGTGTGTGAGATCTTTGAGGAATCATGAGGAACAGGCTACCAAAGTCCAGAGGAATAGAGAAAGGCAGATTTTGTACATATATTCAAAAAAAGGCAGGGGGAGAGGACACCTAGTTATTTACATATCATCTTGAAATTTGTACCAGGCAAACTCTTGAGACAAATTACTGAAATATTCAGTTTGAAAACATTTATGAAAACATGCATTGCTTGGCAAGAGCTAGCTTTGGAATTAATTTCCTTTTCCCAACAAGTTAGTTGACCATGGAATTCAATAGACAGAGCCTTGACTTCAGCAAAACATTTGACAAAGTCTCCCAAGAGATTTTAGTAGAAAAAAATAACAAAATATGGGTTGGACTATGCTAGTTTTAGATGGATATACAGATGGTTAAACAATAATATTGCATGACCATGTATCAAGTTGAAGAGAAATATCCAGTGGCATACTTCAGGGCTCCATTCTAGGTCCTGTGCTCTTCAGCATTTTTATAAATAACACAGAAGGGTTAAATATGCAACCATCACATTTGCAGACAAGGTTGAGGGAAGAACAGCCACCTGGGGGAATACAGTCAAGATTTTGATAGGCTGAAATAATAAGCAGGAGACAACAAACTTCAGGGAAACCAAATGTTGCAGTAGTTTTCAAAAGGGTTGTTTTTGAGCCAGGATTTAGTCATTTCAGAAGATAGGACAAGAAAGAACGGCTTTAAATTACAAAGAAGTAATTTATATTCTTCAGTTCTGTAATCCTTATATTCTGTGACTGTAGAAAATGAGAGTAGAGAGTAAGATATAAAGCCATTCTTCTTGTTTTCTGTTCAGCTGTGAAGGAAGAACCAGAAACCGCTGATGACAACTTGGGCCCTGGGCCAGACGTGGAAGAACTTCAAGACAAAGTGAAAACACAAGGGGTTTTCAAGGTAGAAGATGAAGAGCAGGACTTAAAGGTGTGTAAGTTAAAATAGGCTTTTTAGACAAGAGAGAATCGTGTATTTAGGTATACTATTTGCAAATCTTGCTTTCCTGACACACAATGATCATTCATTTTCATAGCATTAAGAATAGTGATATGACCTGAAATTATACAAGTATGATTATTTACAATCTCAAATTTAAGCACAGAATAAATAAATAATCCTAAGTATTTGTAGTGATGTAGCATATAGACCAGGGGTGACAAACTGGCGACCCGCAGGCCGGATGCGTCACATGCAGGCCACGTCCACCCCGGCTCCGCAAAGGCAAAAAATATTGCGATATGTCACGATACATCATGTGACGCGATCAAGTTTGACACTTATGATATAGACTGACCTTTCTTTTAACCTCTGTCTTTTTGTGTGTGCAAGTGAAGTTGTCCTTAAATCATTATTGGTACTTAATTTAGTCTAAGTTATTTTATCATAGAATACCTCTAAATCTTTTAAGTTTTAATTATTTTTTAATTGTGCTTCTAGTAATACTTCTAGACATATCCTGTGCTACATCCAAAAAAGTTACAGGAATTTAAAAACAAATGGCATTTGATATGTGAAGGTAATGCAAGTTCTAACAAGAAGTAGGCAGTCTTATTAAAAACAGGAAGTATTGATTAGTAATGGGAAACATACAGACTTATTATCCTCTAATTTAAGCATTGCAGCTTTTGTGACTGTTAGTACTGAATAATGAAATAACAGCATTTTTGTGCAAAGTAGGTGAAAAAAATCTTCATTGGACATAATAATTACTGATTTATACATATTTAAAATTAGATAAGATCTTAAATTATCCCATCAGGATAAAATAAAAGTACATGGGCAATAAAATTCAGGACAATACCTTTTTTATATTTGGCTAAAATTGATTGGCTCAACTCTGGTCCTCATTAGTCCCAATTTTTTTCAGCTGAGATTTACTGTTCAGATCATGGATCTTTGTACAGTTCAGAGTCAGCATTGCAATAGTCTTTTATGTTATGACTAACAAACCAAAACTTGACCTCTTGCTTGCTTTACTTTTGGCAGTTTCAGATTGGAGAGCTGGCCAATATGTTGATAAGCAAGCTGGAGTTCTTGGGCATCAGTAGACAGTCGATCTCTAACTTCCACATGCTACTGTTGCAGACTGAGGTAACCAAGGTTTACCTTTTATTAAAAAGAAACAATGGAATGTAGGAAGCCATATACATGAAGGATTGTGGTGTAACAAGAATTTAGGAAGTTCAAGTCCCATGGCATGAATAGCAGTCTCTATTTCTTTTCCCTTGTCCCTTCCTCCCCTACCAGCTGTTGGCTTTAAGACAGTATTTTATTTGCGGACATAATGGATGTTATGTAATCTTTATAATTAATTACAAGCTTTATCTTTACTGCTGCTTCCTATTCTAAGAGCTTAGCACTGTACAAAATTCTAGAGCAGTGGTTCTCAACCTGTGGGTCGGGACCCCATTTGGGGTCGATCGACCATTTCACGGGGGTCACCAAGCAAGGCTGTCCGCCATTTTTTTTGTCCGCCATTTTTTTTTGTCCACCATTTTTTTCCCCTTTTCCGGCGGGTGCCTTACCTCCCTTGGGCTGGGCCAGCTGGTGGTCGGCCTGCTCCGTCTCTGCCGCTTGCCAGCTACGCCTCGGCCAGCGAAGGGGGTGGAACCACGCATGCGCGGCGCTCCCGGGCAGGGAAGGTCCCCGACTTATGACCGGTTTAGTCCTCGACTTACGACCGGTTGGGGTCGCGGCATTAAAAAGGTTGAGAACCACTGTTCTAGAGTTCAGCAGAATATGGCATACATGTGGCCAGTTGTCTGTAAACCTTTCATTATTCTGTGTCTTTATCTCTCTTTGACAGACTCGTATTGCAGATTGGCGGGAAGGTGCTCTCCAAGGAAATTACCTCAAACGCAAATTACAAGATGCAGCTGAACAGCTAAAACAGTATGAAATAAACGCCGCCCCTAAAGGCTGGTCCTGCCACTGGGACAGGTACGCACTCTTCTCCCCTTTTCACCTTTGACCTTTGACATCTCAGACATGATTTGTGATCATCACCACCTACCGACCTGCCGTCATCTGTCTGGAGACTGAGAGCAGCTGCACTTAGCGGTGCTGAGCGGGCAAAGAGCCTCTGGCACATACAGATTTTGAGCCAGCCACAAAAATTGGAGAAATATAAAGTCTATGTTAAGTGTGTTGAAATGGATTTGATTTCCGCGATTGGACAGAGCTGGTGTTTACTCTCGAGTGTAAATGCGCTAAGGAGGGCGGGCTTGGGGGGTCGCGCATGCGAGAGCTCTGTGCACATTGCAGGATCTCAGGAACTACGCTCCCAAGTAACGTCTGTGTCCTTATGGAAAGCTCACTGCCTGAGGATCTCAACGAAGAACAAGATAACTATCTCCTGCCAGCAGGTCAGACCAAACTATTTCTTCTTATTTTTGGCTTTCTTGATTATTTTTGTTTATTTGAAATCTTTGCTCTTTTGTTTTTCAGCTCCCAGATCCTCTCCCTCTCAGTAGCAATTCACTATGTCTGACACCAAGAGTATCATACATGTGACTGCAGCAGTCCATGGGAGCAGCCATCTTTCATAAATTGGGCTGTTTCTCTTTTGCTATTCTGGAAGGAAATGAATCCTGAGGCTACCTTAAAGTCTATTTCCTCATACAGCCTTTAATTTCATATCAACCACAAGCGAGTTGTTTCGCTAACCCCCTGCTCTTGGAGCAGGGGGTCAGGGCTGTGATCACAGAGCCAGCACCGCAAACAGTTTGGAGCAAGCTCACCTTGCCAATTCTTCCTCAAAGCTGTTTGTTGCCTTTGTGAACAGCAGTCCTTATTATAAGAGGTTCTTCCTGTGAGAGCACTCCACTGTCGCAGGATAGGACCACATTATTGTGTCAGTGTGGGGGGTGAAGAGAGTAAAGCTTTGTTTTCTTTCTTGTGATTTAGGGATCATAGACGCTATTTCTATGTTAACGAGCAGTCAGGCGAATCCCAGTGGGAGTTCCCAGATGGGGAGGAGGAGGAGGAAGGACAAATCCTAGAGAATAAAGCAGAAGCTCTTCCCAAACAAGCATTGAAGGAGAAAATTGAGTCTGGTGAGGAATCTACTGATAATGCTACAGGTACAGGTCTGAAAGTTCTGCTAAAAGAAAACTAAGGGAACATTTTTAGAGAGGGGACTAACCATATTTAACACAAAAGAATAGTTGCTTAAGGAGAAGTATGTGTAATTTGTACATTGAATGCTAAACTGAAATGAGAGTGCATTGTCAGTAATATTCCTTTGTATATGTATAGGATATTCTTTTTTCATCATTGTATGCAGTTCATGCATCCTATATATATATCCTATATATCTCCATGTCAAGCCAGATTTCTTTCTGTTGGAATTTTTTCAGTTTAATTTTAGAGTTTGGGGACTGGTTATCTGGATGCTTATTAATATTGGAGGTGGAACAATTGCTTTCTCATTGTTCTACAAGAAACTCACATAAAAATAGAACTTGCTCATATGTTAAAGCAAAGGAAACTGGACAAGAATATAGTCGCTAGAAAATCCAAGAAAAATGAAATAGCAAGTTACTGTATATCAGGTTATCATGTTGACAATTGGAACAGTTTAAAGACTAAAGTAGGAAAGATTTTAATTCTGAAACTATAGAAAGAAGGTAACGTAGCTTCATATATGCCTCTATTTACACTCCAAATAAAAATAAAGGAACAATTTTAAAAAGATTTTTTTCCCAAGTGTCAATAGAAGTGGAACAAGGTGAAATATTTATCCCTGGAAATATACACGGAGCGTTAGATTTAAATTTAGATAAAACATTTCAAGGGAAGAAAGGTGAAAAGCTTTCAGAAAAGGTATTCCAATATATGGATGAATTGGCATTGATAGGAGTCTGTAAACTCCAGCAGAGATTCATCATACTTTCTATTGCTAAACAAGAAATCAATTGTACTCCAGAATGGATATGTATTTGGTCCCCAAGGTTCTAGTAGTACAGATTCTTGCAATGATATATGCAGATCATGATCCAGTTCTAATAATACTGCATTCTGGAGAAAAAAACATTCCTTCAAATGGAAGATGAATGATAAATTGCTATTCCACCACAAGATCCTACAGAATTTTTTTTTATTTTTTGTTTTATTTGTATCCCACCTTTATTGTTTTTCCAGATAAGATGGATAATATATCCAATACACTTCCTCCTCCTTTGTTACCCACAGCAACAACCCTGTGAGGGATTGATTGATTGGTCCAAAGTCAACCAACTGGCTTTCATGGCTAAGGCGGGACTTGAACTCACAGTCTCCTGCTTTCTAGCCTGCTGCTTAACTACTAAACCAAACTGGCTCTATGCAAGATGCAAGAAGGAATTGAAAATTTTCTTCAAAATAAACAGAATACCAGGAATCTCTGATGCTATCATTTGGGGCATAAACAAGCATGAATTAGCAACTAAACCAAAAAGAAAACATATAGAACAACTAGAATTCAAAATAAGAGAATTAGAACATTTGGATAGAACTGCTTAACACATAATCCAAAAGAACAACTAATGAAAGAATTGCAATAACAAGTTTATTGGAAATGGGAGAACTACAAAAGAACACTTTTTAAAAAAAATTCAAACGTGAATAAACCAGGGAAATTTGTATCCGATTAGAAAAAAGATCAACAATAAAGGGGTTAAATTGTTGCAGACATAATCAGAAATTATAGAAGAATTGGCAGATTTTTTTCAAGGGACCATATTCAACAGCTAACATTGATGAAGTAAGCTATGAATAAATATACTGAAAACTCTGTCCTTAAGAAATTTAATGGCCAACATAGGCAAATACTAAGTAAGCCTATAACTATCCAAGAAATAAAAGAGGCAATTTATTGTTTGTTTATTTCAGTTTTATTCCACCTTTATTATCTTATAAGTAACTCAAGGTGGCATAACTTGGGAAAGAACAAGATCCAGATGGGCCAATAGCTTAATATTATGAAGAACTCAGAGGAATTGTTGGAACCACTGACAAATGAATGAAATTTTAAAAAGTGATACCACAAATATGGGAAGTAACATACTGTACATTACTTGGATTTTCAAAGAAGAGAATGACATGGAAAAACCACAATAATACAAACTAATCTCTCTGTTGAATATAGATTATAACTTTTTACAATTCTAGTGAATGTGTTTTGAGATAATATACATATTGTCAAATAAGTTATATTCTGAATAGGAATAAAAAGGACAACAGATTTATAATCAGTACAATAGAATACAATAAATATGAGTCAGTTGCCAAATGTCTGAATTTTGACCACATGAGCATCAGGATTCGGCAGTGGTTGTAAATGTGAAAAATGGTTATAAGTCTCTTTTCACTGCCATTGTAACAATCACTCAGTGAACTGTTGTAAGATGAGTATGTCAGTCAGAATACAACAAAGAAGTTAGAAATTAAACATGATGGTTTTGGTCATTTTTCCCTTTTTTATGATATCTTTTAATAACAAAATAGTGGAAACTGGCAGAGATTCAAAAGGTCTTAAAAATTCTTTTTGTCAAAAATAGCTTAATGTATTTTGTCTTTCTGGTTAATTTTTCATCAATGATATATTGTGCATTAACTAGACCAGAGGTCCCCAACCTTTTGGGGCCCAGGGACGGTTCCATGGAGAAAGGTTTTTCTGTGGACCGGAGGATGCGTGTTTTTGTGTGCTGCTTGCATCCTGCGAATGGGGCTTTGTTTGTGCGGACCGGTTGCTGGCATGCCGCGGCCCGGTACTGGCTCACAGACCGGGGGTTGGGGACCCCTAAACTAGACAACTTCAGTAACTTACTTGTCCACTTATCAATATTTTACCTCAGGATCAACTATTTTTTCATTTTCTCTTCTTTCTTTAAAAAATAATTAAAGGAAAAGAAATAGATTTGCCTTTGGCAAAAGAAGCCCCATCAAATGATAGATCAAAGCAATAAAATATCCAGGTTAAAACTTTTACATATAACTTTTTTCTTTCAGGTACTGTTTCTAAAGAATCTCTTTCTAGTCAAGCTGGAGCTACTTCTCTGGTGCCTCTCAGTCCATTTTGGACTGTTCTTCAGCCCTCTGTCCCAGTTCTGCAACCCCCTTTACCCTTAGAAATGCCACCACCCCCACCACCCCCTCCAGAATCACCCCCGCCACCCCCTCCCCCTCCCCCACCTCCTGGAGAAGATGGAGAAATACAGGAAGTAGAAATGGAAGATGAGGGAGATGAAGAGCCACCAGCACCAGGAACAGAGGAAGATGCTGTTCTAAAACCTCTCCTTCGACCAGCTGTTGCCAACAGCCAGGTGAATTAATAATTCTTGGCATATGAATTATATCTGTGTTACTGCAGACAGGGTTCTCCATTGTGAAACCTATTTGACGTCTTGTCGTTCGTAATGCATGGTCTTCCCAAAGCCATATCAAGAAGTAAAACACAATTTTCATCAGCTGTCCAGATGTATGCAAAATGAACTATGTAAATGTTGCTGCATTATGCAAGAATTTTGAATTGGTATATAATTTGTTGTGAAAAAGAATATTTTTTTTCTAAGAAATGATATGAAAGTTGAAGGAAGATCTTGGGTTCATGGCATTCAGGGCTTAGGAGCATCATTTGTGTATAAGGAGGTGGACTCTAATTTAAATTTTGTATTGGTTTGATGCATTTATTTATTTGTTTATTTTATAATCTACCCATTGTTAAAAACAATGCTACAGTAGGTTGTGTTTAAAATTAATTTACAAAACGTTAAAACAATTTAAATGCCTTAATAAGAGTGACAAACATTTGTTCCCTCCATATATAAAATAAATAAAACAGTTAAAACACTGTTGTAAAGAGCATAAATTAGAAAATGGTCTCTGTAACAAATCACTGGTACACATAACTCTCAAGGGATATTCCCATTAGACCTTAATTGATAGGCAAGTACAAAACAGGTATGGAACAGCTGTTCCATAAAGTATCCAAGTATTAACTCATGATGCTTTTTATGTTAATATAAGTATCTTGAACTTAGCACAGTAGCAAATTAGCAGCAGTTACAATGCCTTCAGAATGGGCAAACTACAATTAGCAATCGAGCTTTGCCATTTTTTTCTGGCTACTGCTTTTACCCCAACCTCAAGGATAATCCTTTAGACAACAGTACAGTAATCCAGTCATAATACAAACATTTCTGTTTGTCTATGGAGATTCTCAGTCATCCACGTCATGGTTGTCTCAAAGGTGCTTTTTCAAAAGACAGCTGGACTATATTTCTGTTTGTAGTAGTTGAAAGTGTCACATGGTGATGTATCTATTGTTGCAGATAGTAGTAGCTACTTTTCACAATTGTATTAAACAGTGTACACGAATGATGGTAATTGCTTGTTAAAAGGTTTGTATGATTCACAAGCCTCAAACTGACTTCCTTTTGTCTGCTTCCAGACCAACTCTGAGACCAGTGTATCCACAACTTCCGCTAAACCTTTAAAAAGAAAAGCTTCCGAAATGAATGCGGGACTGGTGCAGCGAGCAGCAACTATTGGAAGTTGTCCGGTGCTTTATGGCCAGTCAGTAATAGGTGGAAGTGAGTTTCATTCCTCTGGTGCTGCTTTGGTTATTATAACTGTGGGGGAGATGTTTGGACATTTCTCATTCTTTATGCTATTGTGTATTCAGGCCAACAAGCCCATGGGGTGAGTTTACAATCAAGTTACCTTGGAGTACCACAGCCAGCTCTCATAGGCTATTCAGACTGCAGTGCCTCAGGGGGACTTCCTGCCAGCACAACACAGCCTGTTCCTTCGCAAGGAGCTCCATCTGCCACTGCAGAACATCTGCCGCCACCGCCACCACCGCCGCCGCCTCCTCCTCAGTCACCACCTCCACAAGTTCCAAAGTCATTACCTCTGGAGAAATCAAAAAAAATGAGAAGAGGTAGCAAGGTGAGTGCATAAGTTTGAATTTTCTATCATTCACTGTACCAAAATGGAATGAGTTGCACGTAAATAGAAATGCCTGTTATTTTATTTAGCTGATCTTATTACTTGTTCGTTAGGTAGCATTTCATAGAGGTAACTTATTTTAGGATATTGGTTTATAGAAATGTACTGAGAAATTAGGGTCTTGGGCATGAGAGCTAACATCCTGGTGGCCTAATCTCAGTCATCTTGGAGATATTAGCTTGATGCTCAGAATTTCCGAACACATTTTCCTTTTTTGTGTGTGTGAATCAGCAATGTAGAATTAATTAGCTGGGTATTGGATAATCTCATGTATATTTTGACAGGATCAGTTTTCATTTTTTATATCAAAGTTAGACAGGCTGTATTATCCAATATTTACAATGTTCCACCACTTTTCCTTTTGACCCTTGTCCAGCATGGCTTGTAACTTTTAGCCAGAAAGTTATTAAAGATATCTTATTCATGAACATAATATGACCTCTAAAGTAAGGCAAGATGACTCTTTGTTTATAGGGGGCATCATCAGCCTTTTCTGAAGAGACTGTCATTGGCTCTCTTGGTCATAAGCCTGCGGCCAGTGGCCAGCCTGAGGTGGCAGATAGCTCCCCATTATGGGCTATCCTTGAGGAAGCAAATTATCTTGTTCCAGTCCAAACTGGCTTCAGATTAGGACACAGAATAGAGATAATTTTGGTTGTCCTATAGGTGACAGAGGGAATTCTCTTTGACCTCTCAGTGGCTTTTGATCTTATCGACCATAGTATTCCTCTGGAGATCATTTGAAAGTGACAAGAAAGGGACGTCTCTCATCATTTCATTTCAACATATCCCTGTTCTGGGAAAATTCAAAGAGACACAATACACACCTATCCTGAAAGCATTATACGAGCAACAATTTATTTCTAGATGAAAAATCAAGGGCTGAAATTTTTTTCTTAAAAGCCAGGGATGTACAGAAAACAACCTTTAAGTATTTCAGTGATACAAACTTTCCAAAGAAGATTAGAGTTGGGCAACATCTAAGCAGAAATAAATAGTTTTGATGTTTGTGAATATTTCGTTACAGAGGAAAAAAAATAAGACGAAGATGCCATCTCTGGTAAAGAAGTGGCAGAGCATTCAGCGGGAATTGGATGAGGAGGAAAACTCCAGCTCTAGTGATGAAGATCGGGAAGTGATGTCACAGAAGCGAATAGAAGAATGGAAACAGCAGCAATTAATCACGTATGTAGAAGCTTGCATGATACATCTACCACTCAACTGCATGCACCCTAAAATATTTTGATTCAGATCAATTTTTTCTAATTTGGGGGCAGCATCTGTTATTTCATGTGGTATTATCAACAAAAATGAAGGATGATTTTGTTTTTAAATTGCTTTTCAGCATACTGTGTTATTTAACCAAAAATTTAATATGTGCTATATATAAGAAATGTTCATTATTTAGGATACGGGTTTTTTCCCATAAATTGGTGCACACTTAGAAAAATGTTTTTCTGCCTTTAGATCTTATATTGTAAAGTTTTTCTTTCTTTTTTACTTGTAATGTTTCTTTCTATTCTTTTTTGCAGTGGTATGGCAGAAAGAAATGCCAATTTTGAGGCTTTGCCTGAAGACTGGAGAGCTCGACTCAAGAGGCGGAAAAACACTTCAAACACATGAGCTTTTTTTTAACCATTCATGTACAGTTCAGAACCTTTTACTGTTGGATCTGTTGTAACTTTGAAGATACTTATTTCAGTTCAATTACCTGAGAGAGAATTTTGTTGGACTTGGGAATCTTTTGGAGATATACTTTGGCAAATAGGCCTGTGAAATGATGGTTAGGCTTGATACTTCTATGTTAAGCAGCTCCCATTTCAGACAGCTGACACACTATTCTGTCCAGTTCCCTGGTGGAGCACATAACAATAACTGATTGATGCACTTTGGCTGGTTCCATTTCTTACTCCACATTTGCTTTTTCAAGTACTGTAATGTGTCTAGCTGTAATTTGCCACTTGCATTTTTTGAAAAATGTATAGTC